TGCCCAAAATCCGAGGTTAAAATGAAGAAGGGATTGTGGCACGGTCATCCACCCTGGGAGTGCTCTCTCTCTCACTCTTTCACTGTGTCTCCAATGAGCACACGTGTCATATAGCTAAATAAGTAAATATATAAATCTACAAGTCTCCTAGACTCTTCACCTACCATGTCTTAACTGATCACAAAGTTCTAAATATTCCTCAGATAGTGTTCTTAAATCTGGACCTCCTCTTCACTCACTCTTAATTATCTTTGCCTCTTAAGAGTATAAATTGCCTCCTAACTGTTCTCCCTGCCTGCAGGCTCTGTCCTGCACATTGTCATCAGAGTTTTGTGTAAAATTGTCTGAACTGGGCATTTGAGCAAAAGATTCTATTGGGGCCAGCAGGTGGCATGGTGGCTAAGGCTGCTGGACTCCCACAGGGCCAACCATGGCTCGAGTCCCGGACCTGGCGGCTTGCTTTCTCACTAAACCTCTCTCTCTTGCTCTCTCTTGTCAAATTAAAATAAATAAATAAATACAGTTGAATATAATGATTCTCTTTTTTTTAAAAAAAAAAAAGTTCTATTAATTATGCTGAGGAAAGAAGGCATAAACTGGGAATTCCCCAGCAAATCAGGACATGTAATCGCTAGTCATATACTCCCCTGCTTAAAATCAATTATTTTCCACTGCTCACAGGAAACACCAACCTCTGTAAAACAAGAGGCCCTGTTTTTGCTTCTATTTCACATGCACTCTAGACTCCAGCCTCAAGACCTGTTCTTAGCCTGGTCCTCCTTCCATGGCTCTGGAGTCAGATATCTGGGTGGGTCTGACTTCCCAGCTCCTCTTACTAGCACTGTGTCACATTAAGCAGGTTACTCAGCCTCTCTGTACCCAGTTCTGTAACACTGGAGTAATGTGAGGATTAAGTAGGATAATACACAAAATACTTTTAGCATAGTATGCCCAGAATGGAATACTAAGAGTGAGCTGTTAACTCTGTGGTGAAAGTCGAATTCCCATTTCATATATAAAGACCCTTGGGATGTGAAATCTCCAAGGTCAGAACTGTATAGCAGTTCTCTTTAGTGCACCTTATTGCACACCCTCCATTCCCAGGTGTCTGGTACCCAGTCCTCCAAGTCTTGTTTCATGAAACCAGATAATCAACCATCTGGGAAAAATACACAGGAGAATGTTGAACCTGGCAAAAGAGAAGGGGAAAGGAGAGTGTCACCAGAGCTAAAATGTTTTTGGAGTTGTGTGGAAGAGGGCGGGACCTAGGGTGGCCCTGGGAGGAAGAACTGGGCCCTCTGAGCTGGCCGAGGTGAATACCCCAGTTACATTCCTATCTTTAAGGATCGCATCTCTAAGCAAGGGCGCTGTCCAGCGTGGGGAGGGGCTGCTTTCCCAGTCACCGCTCTCGAGAGAGGCCTGATGCCAAGAGGAGAACGGACGACCTCCGGACCTCGAAGCTGGCCGGGGCCCTGGCCGGGGTGCTGGGCACAGCTCGACAGACAGGTGTCCGGTCGTGAGACCTCCGCCCCTCCGGGCGCCCTGCCCTTCCACGCCACCCCACCGGAGCCCGCCAACCCCGGCCGAAGACCGCACTTCCCGGACCGGCCCCGAGGGCGGGAAGCAGCGGCCGCTGGACAAACCCAGCCGGCCGGCGAAAGCGGAGGAAATCCAGCCGGGCCGGAAACACCGAGAACTGCTTCCGGGCCAGGGGCAGGAGCCACCCTGGAGCCTCGCCGCGGTGCG